CATCAAACACAAATGCTGGTTTGGGCATACTATCATAGATCTTCTTATAATCCAACTTCTTAAACTCATCCCATTCAGTCAAGATGCAGAGTCCATGTGCACCCTTAGCCGCCTCATACGCATCCCACACCACACTCACTTGCTTCACCGAGCTCGGGCTCATGGGCTGCAGGTGCAACGGGTGGTCCCAGTCAAACTTGTTCATCGAAAGATCCCTCTGGATCTGTTCTTCAGTCACTTGTGGATCATATATGCTCAAATGAGCCTTATCTCCTAGCAACCCTTTGCACACATCAATGGCAGGAGTCTCCCTCGTGTCACCCGTGTCTTTCTTGAACGCAAACCCCAAAACCGCAATCTTTTTCCCCGAAACCGTGTTAAACATTGATGAAACAATCCGGTTCACAAAACGATTCTTTTGGTAATCGTTAACTTTAATCACTTGTTTCCAATAGTTTGCCACTTCGGGTAGCCCGTTGCATTCACAAATGTAGACCAAGTTGAGAATATCTTTTTGGAAACAAGATCCACCGAACCCAACACTGGCGTTCAGGAACTTGTGTCCAATCCTGGTGTCCTTCCCCACTGCGTGAGACACCTCCGCCACATCAGCACCAGTCGCTTCGCACAGCGCTGACATGGCATTCACAGACGAGATCCTTTGTGCCAAAAACGCATTGGCGGCCAACTTGGACAACTCGGCCGACCAAAGATTGGTACAAAGGATCCGCTCCTCTGGCACCCAATGAGCATAAACAGCTTTCAATGCCTTAATTGCCCTTTGACCATCCAGGGTTTCTCTCCCTCCGATCAACACACGGTCAGGGGCAAAAAGGTCTTCTATCGCGGTCCCCTCTGCGAGAAACTCGGGGTTTGACAAGATCTGGTAGTTCACCCCTTTGCTGTTGTGTGTGAGGATCTTTTCGATAGCTTCAGCCGTTTTCACAGGAACCGTTGATTTCTCAACCACGATCTTGTCAGATTTTGACACGTCAGCGATCATACGAGCAGCACTTTCCCAATAGGTGAGATCAGCAGCTTTTCCAGCACCGAGACCTCGAGTTTTTGTGGGTGTGTTGACTGACACAAAGATGATGTCAGCTTCAGCAACATGCTTTTCAACATCAGTGCTAAAGAACAGATTCTTGCCACGACATGACTTCACCACGTCATCAAGCCCTGGCTCATAGATCGGGAGCTGATCACTGTTCCAGGCATTGATACGGGAGACTGATATGTCAACCACGGCGACCTCGATGGCTGGACATTTGAGGGCAATAACTGCCATTGTTGGACCTCCAACATAACCAGCTCCAATACAACAAATCTTCACCATTATCCTTTCACGAATCTCTATACCCTATAAACATGAAAAAGATTAGATTTTTGTAAAATCCCACATATATTTCACCTTGGGAATGCAACAAAATTCAGAATCTCGATCGAAAGTTTGACCCTTTTTGTTGAAAAGATAAGAACATGATGTAAGATGCCATTTGCTGAAAAATTCGATGTGTGTACATACAGAATAAGACCCAAAACTAGCATTTCTTGAGAATTAAAGCATTTATCATACAGAATTATTAGATGAAGGTGAGATGAAGCTACAATACTACGTCACAAGTCACAACACATTTTTCTATATGAAATCAAGGGAAAAAAAATGTTGAAGAAAGTGCATAAATTGTGAAAATCTAATGAATGAGGAAGAGCATGTGGGAATTGGGATCAAAGTTTGTACCTTTCCTGTGAAAGAAGTTGCAGAGAAAGAAAATGGAAGAGAAGTCGTTTTCTGGTGAAGTTGAGTGAGGGGGGAGATCTCTTTAAATACCCATAAAATAAATAACTTAAGATCTGAATTCCTAGGACACTCAAAAACCAAGTAAAGTGCCAAAAGTGAGATTTAGAACATTCAATACGTTTTTAATACCATATATACCTTTCAGTAGTTAACAAGGGAAATTTCAAGTGCTATCTACTTACGTTTTTTTGTTTTCTTTTCAATTTTTGAGTCCCATTGATGTTCTTATGATAATATTAAAGTCGGAATTTTGGCAATTTGTTCACTTTTTACCTTTTAATGGTGGGGTAGAACAGAAAACCGAGGTTACTAGTTAGATTATTGAGTTGAATTGACCTGAATTTATTTATAAACAAAAGCTTCATTTTAAGCAACATTTCCATTTTTCCTTTAACGTTAAAATCTGATCCAAAAACATGGGCTTTTGGTGAAAATTTCATGTCAAAAAGGAAACTTAAGTAATCAGAAAAGAAAACATGAACATGAATGATGATGCAAGAAAAATAATTAATATAAAGGGGGTCGATGGTGAATGTTGAGTGAGATTGAAGATATGATTTAAAAACAATAAAAAATGTCATGATTAAAGAGAGCTTGATTTGAAAGGAACGCATAGCTAAGAGGGTTTTGATGGAGATTAAACATGCTAAAATGCTAAATTCCTGATAAAATCGGCTTCAACCAGCTACTTGAAGAGGTGGGCACCGGCAATGAACCTTCAAATCTACTCCTTTTTCACAGAGGGATGAAAATTGAAATTGTTTTTCGATCAAAAAAATAATAATAAATAAATAAAATCAAATAAAAGTTATGTATTTCCCCATGAACAATTTTCTCGCGAGATTAATAGCAATTTCACAATAGAGTTTTTTAACAGATTTTGGGCCCATTCAAAATTTGATTTTGCTAACTAAAGTTAATTAGGCATTCGTGTTATTGCAAATATGTGATTATTTGGCAAAAAAAAATTCATTTTGTTAAAAAAAGTCTCTTTAAACTTCGACTATATTTGTTATTTTCTCTAAATTTAGTGACTAAATGGATGAATCTTATTACCAAAAAAAAAAACACACACACACATTTACAAAGCTTTTTAGAAAGTGCCCTATTTTTAGCCCAATAAAAAATTATGGTTGTATATGTAGGTATATATGCTACTCACATGATAGCATCTGTTGCACCCATGGAATAAAGGAATATACATAGGAATGTATCATCGTGTATCCAATAAACTAAACGGACAAAAGTATTTTATGACGCAGACGTACGTATCACGTATATGTATAAAATCATTAATGTATTTGCTTTGGTTTCGGACTTGGGTCACCGATCCTGCCCATCAATAATAGTTCGGCCCATTCCTATAAGGCCCACAGGCCACACAGTTATCCATCCATTTCAATATAGGCATATGCTTCCATTTCATTCCTTGTGTACGTAATATTTGTAGTTTGACTTTGACATTTGGAGTTAAAAAATACATAATAAAATAAGTAATAAACAATTAATTAACTATTCAACACGCCACAAAGAGGAAATGTAGAAAACTATGTAGCCTTCTTGGAAACAAGAAAACCCGACGTTACTTGCAAAGCACGATTAAATTCATTCATATTCACATGTGCACATTTGACATCTGAAACTAAGCTCGATCTTCATCCTCCAAACATGGAAAAACCACCACCACCATCAACCACCACCATGAGCCCCATGGCCACTCCTGTTAGCAACCTCTATGACTCGTATGAGTTCAGAGCCATTTCAAAACAGCTAAATCGGGCAATCAAAGGCTCCAACAACAACAGCCCCTTGTCTCCTTACTCATTTTATTTGAAGTCTGCAACCCCTTTCTACTCGAAACAGGTGAAAAGAATATGTGGAACAACTACAAACAAAAGGGTTCCATCTCTATCCTTGAAGACTCATCAAGACTCATCACAACCACGTGCCAAGGGATTTGTCTCACGCCTCTGGGCAAAGGTTAAAGGAAGATTTATACAGACCCATTGATCCTCCATTCTAAATTCTAAATTTCAATTTGTGCATCTTTTGTGTAGTATATCATATGTATAAATTAATGATCGAAAACGCAGTTGGCTTGTATAAATTAAAGTTTGTGGTGTAACACAGTCGGATAAGGTCATGAATTGAAATGGCAACAAACTATTCTAGTTGTACTTGTATCATTATTGATTATTGTGTGTTCTAGCTAACTTCTAAGTCGCTAAAGTAAATTTCCTAATTTTGTTCCAATCAAGTTCAAGTCACTCTAAGCCAAAATTTGACCCAAATCACAAAGATCACCTATTTTAGTACTCCAGAGTGCAGATGTTATGTACTATTGACTTGCCCTAGATATTACACGACCTGCTATTCCTAGATCCTAAAAATGGTGAAAGATTAGGCAATGGTGTTCCCAACAATTCACTAGATGTTCGTACAACATTTTGGAAGCAAGTCTACGACAGATTTCAGGTTTTCTAACAATATATGTTATGAAACACACACAACACAAATAATGATGATTATAAGTTATAACACTATTTAATCAAACAAAATCAATGCCATGTTAAGTGTTCATTACAGTAGGGTGTTCAAAACCGGAATCCAAATATTTGGATACCGGACAGGGGAGAAACTAGAGGATAAATATTAGGGGGGCGTAACCAAATTTATTTGTAGTTGTATTGGTATATATGTATTTATATTCAGATACTTATGTGAAGTGAATGCACAAAATTTTCCATAATTGTCTTATGATAAATCTAAAATCATAGAAAACAAATTAGGAATTAAACACATCAAATTAGTTAACGAAAATTCAATCAATAATTATCAACATATAGAATTATATAAGATCTATCACGCCATGAACATATTAAACAATCAATAATTATTATTTGTAAAACTATAAAGAGTTAACATCTCACAGTTAATCATTCAATATTATTGTTTATAAATTTAATACTATTATTTTATCTTTTAAAGAAGAGATTGCACGCCACTACCCCACCCTAAGTTCTTAACCTCTAGCTATATACATTAAACAATGGGTAAATGGGTAAAGTAGCTCCAATCCTAAAAGAGAAAAGCAAGTTAAAGAAAAGCAAGAGTAACTGGAGTGACATATAATAACTACCGATAAGCGAGAGAGCAGAGAGCAAGCCGCATAGCCGGTCGACACGAGGCGGAACCGCAAATGGACCAACAACCGGCGGCCGACATATGTCGACTAAGTGACGGACAGGCGGAGGCAAGAGCCATTACAACGGCCAAGTATTCAGCCAGAGGCCAAATCGGGGGAGAGGGTGAAAGCGGCGGCCAACATATTTTTCTCAAAATGGTTTTGATTTGTTTTAAAAGGTTTGAAGCATTTTCTTGTATTGAGATGGGGGATTATGAAAATTTTAAGGGCTTTTATTTTGATTTATTAAATTACAAAATGAAGATATTATTTTGATTTTTTTTCAAATATTTTTGAAACCTTTCTTTAACGGGTGTAGTTTAAAGGATATCATTTGAAATCAATCTTCTATTATGTAATTTTATGCACAGTTTACAGGTTATATTTAACTTGTAATATAATTTTAAAATTTGAATTATAGTATATGTGACAAGGTAATCAACGTATTAAGATTTAATGTTCTTGCTATGAAAAAACGGGGAGCCATGGCCTCCCCTGGCCCTTAAAGGATCCGTCACAGATACCAAATAAGCATACAAAGTTTCGGATATTAAATTGGATATCGGATATTAAATTGGACATCTGAAAATACTGAACTTAAAGAAAAAAAAACATTTTTATTATTCTCTTTATTTGAACATAATATATTATAAACCAATATTGTTTTATTTTTCATTTGACTAATTAACCATTTAGTAAGTTACCGTTAAAAATATTATTAAATAACAAATATATAAAACAGAAAAATAAAAATAAAAAGCTAAATGAAAAGACATAAGTCAATAAAGTATATGCATGCATCCTAACTCTTTTGAACTATTATATTTTGAAAAAAAATATATTATAAAAATAATTAAAAATAAAATAAAATTTTTGGATATCACATACCTAAAATTTTGAAAAAGTACTATCCATATCTGAATCTGAAAAATCAGTAATCCAAAATTTCGAATAATTTCACATAGGATTTTTGGATGCATATATTTTTTAACACCCATATATATGAGATTTACAAACTCAATGTTAGCAATAAATTATTCAAAACTACAAGGATATTGTCTTCCAGAAGTGAGTAGAACAAAAGCATTGAACGGAGGCCAAGGTCGGCATCGTAATTCTAAAATCTTTAAAATATAATTTGTAAATCCCTATTTCATTTAATATTATTGTAATAACAAATATTTTCATATAAAATAAAATCATATTTCAACTTGATTGTTGATGGTAAGGTGTTTTTGGTTCGTGCTAGGGAAGTTATTGGATGGAATCCTAAATATATTGAAAATGATGATGAATTAGATTCGGATGAGGACGACACATCAATCCATGTTTCAAAGGTTCAAGATGATCCTATCAATTTGGAAGGCCAGGAAAAAGTTGAGACTATCTATGAGGAGAGCCCAGTTGGTTCAGCTTAGAAAGAAGATTTGAATGCCAACAATAATGGAAAAGAAAAGGAAAAAATGTGCGACTTGGAGGGAAAGGAAGCAACAATCGTGAGCAACAGAGAGCGTGATTTCGAGTGTGAGGCTGAACCAAGGCCAAGGATGAGGAAGGGCTGCGTTTTTTGGTTCATCACAGGCTAGGAATTGATTTCGGTAAGCCATTGATTCTCTTCTTATATAATCCATTCATCAATTTCTTGAGAATTGGTAGAAATAGTGAGTCAATTTGGTGTTATTGATCATACTTCTTTCAACCTTCAATCTTGTGAGTTTACATAATCAAACTCTAGCCATATTTGATTGAGTTTTGATGATTTGTTGCTATCAAATTTTGTTGTAAACACCCTCAAGACTTTTGTTGTTTGTGTTCTTGCATTACTCCAAGTTTTGGAGACATTGTCTTCTTTGTTGATTGTTAAAATTCATGTTGTTGCCATCTTGATTCAAGAGGATAATTTTCTATAAAAAGACCATGTTTTGAGCTATCCAAAAGGTCTTCAAAACAGTCCCTAAAAGTCATAATATGAGGCCTAATGGTGGAGGAAACTCAATCCTTAGTGGTGTTTTTTCTCTTTTAGCAATGTACTTTGAGTTATGGTTTAGGATTGAAATTGTTATTTTAACTTCTTAACATGTTGCTACTATTAAGAACTCAATTTCCATCTTCATAGTTGATTTTAAGTCAAACGATTCCTACACTCCATCCTTTTGCGTTTCTTGTTGACATATCCAAGACGACAATGTCACAAGCATGTCTTGTCTAAACCATTAGATGAATCAATTTGCAACATACTATTACCTAAATTGTCTACAACCATCACAATTTCATACATGCTTGCTTCGAAATAAAATACACTATTATAATAAGCATACATAGATTCATTCTTATTATCAAAAGAATATCTAAAACCTTATCTGTATTAACCATGAAATGAAATAATATTCCCCGTCATTTCTGACGAATAGCAATAGTTGTTTAAATCTAAACTTAACCCATTACTAAGCACTAAAGAATAAACACCAATCTTGATAACAGGTGACGATCTCCTAATGCCCATAATCAGGTTCATCTTCTCATGCTTCACATTTTCACTTCTTTTTAGCCCCTACAATTCAGAGCAAATGTGAAAACCACATCATGTATCAAGGACCCAAGATTAGAATGTGACGAGTTTTTAGATAGAATAGTGTAATACCTGTTGAGGTTGGTTGAACCTTGCCATCATTTATGTCTTGCGAGTACTTGGGGCAGCTTCGTTTCCGATGCCCCTTGTCATGGCAGTAAAAGCAAGTAGCCTCCTTAGGATGAGAGGCAAGGGAAGCTTCAGAACTAGATTTTGCTTTAGGGTCATTGCTTGACGACCCGGCTAGACACTTTCCCTTCCAGTTCTGCTTGGTAGGAGATTTACTCTTCTTCCCCTTCCCTTGCCCTATGGCTAAGACGGGAGTAGCAACAGCAGAAGTGGAGGCAATACTATTTCCCTTCATTCCACTCTCGGCAGTTCTCAACAAGCTTTGAAGCTGAATCAATGTGGTCTCCTCTTTGTTCAAATGATAAGTCATAATAAAGTGATCATGACAGTTAGGCAATGAGTGCAAGACTATGTCAATAGTCAATTCCTCATCAAAGTTCACATTGAGTTTCAGCAAACGATCCACATAATGTTGCATGCGTTGCAAGTGGGTCGTGACAGACTCTCTATCCTTTATCTTGTTGGTTATGAGGGACTTGACTATCTCGTATCTCTCTTGACGAGCTCGTTTCATCAAGTCCTTGCACATCTCATACGGCTAATAGTCCTCATAAAACCTTTGTAGCTCAGGAGTCATAGTAGCCACCATGATGCATGCCACTTTGGTAGCATCATTGCAATGCCTCTTATACTTAGCTATTTCTTTAGGAGTAGTGGTCGTTTCATCAATCTTGTTTAGCTCTTTCTCGAGTACATATTCCTTGTCCTCAAATCACAAAGCCATCTTGATGTTACACATCCAATTATTATAATTAGAGCCATCGAAGGTGATTTTCGAACAGATGCTCAAGAGCGAGAAGTGGTTGGAGGAGTTGTTGTTGGAGGAGGAGGAACCAAAAGCATTGTTTGAAGTTGACATTTGAAAAAGGAAAAAAGACAAGTTTTGATTAGATAATAAAATCCTTAATATAACACCCAAAATGAAATATTAAGGCTAGGATTCAACTAAATAATTCACAATTCAAAAGAGGGATGTCGTAATCTAACTTCAAATTATTTAAAGGTAGGCTAATAACGATTTACCAATTTCACCATGAAAAACGAAATTTAATATGAATTAGGTTTCAAATGAAATTCCTAGATCTTTTGAGATTCTTTGAACTATTCAATGGCATGTTTAATCTCGATTATGTCCTTTCCATATGTGACTGTGCTACCGAGGATCATAAACAAGGTGTGCATAACCATGCAAATTAGCTTGGTACGCTCGATGTCATTTGTCACCTAATTAATATGCCGGTTAATCACAAACGCTCCATTAATCAATGATAATTTACGAGACACCCATTGTCACCCTTTATTAGTCCATATTAGTGTGTCGGTTAACCACACACGCTCCACTAACGACATTTATAAAGTGCAATGTGCAATTTCATGGATTAAGATCAAATTTACATTTTCCTAAAGTAACTAAGATTGAGAATTTAATAAAAACATTTAGTTACTTTATTTATTCCATTATACTTATTAATGAGAATTAAATGTCCTATCAAACCCGTTTGGCTAACGACTCTCCACCAATCAAGGGAGCGGTGGGCAAATGTGGATACCTAATGACGGTCATTTTATAGGTTGATTCCTTAAACTCCTGCTATAGATCAACTTCGTGAATGAGGTGTACTAGCGGTTCGACTGACTTGTCTTATACATATAGTAAATATTTAAAATTTTAATATTACATGTAGTATAAGGGTTTATTTTAAACATTTCAAAATACTAGGGTTTTTAAATCAATTTAAAATTTTGAAAATTAAAAACAATTTTAATTCAAATTTTAAATTTTAAAAACTTTGATTTAATAATTATCTAATAATTAAACTTTTAATTAATTTATTAAATCAGTTAAAGGTTATCCATTAAATTAAACAAAATAATTTAACCTAATCCCTTACCCCTTAGATTTCAAAATTTTGGGAGGGATATATCAAAATCTTTAATTATATAATTAAACAATTAACAAGATAATTACCAAAAATAACAACCCACCTTAAAACCCTAGATTTCAAAGCTTTACTTGGGGTGGAAGGCAAGACTTTCAATCCTTGCCTTGTTTTTGAAAACCCTATGGTTAGGAAACCCTAGATCTCGAAAATATGGAGGCCAAAGGAAATGGTTTAAAAACCCTTAGTAATTTTCAAAAAAACAAGGTTATGAAACCTTAATTGCAAAAATCACAAGGCCTAGGGTTTAATTGCCATAAACCCTAATTTTTTCAAGTTCAATTGTAACAGCCCGGATCCCCAGGTATCTTCATTTCTTATATTTTGACATTCTGTGAGGGGACTCGGCGAGTTGGTGGTCGAACTCGCCGAGTCGGGTCGCGGTTTTTAGCGGGGGTTCGCGTCCGGACTCGGCGAGTCCAAGGGATGGACTCGGCGAGTCCGTGCTGTTTAATGAAACTCTAATTTCCCGGTCCTAAGCCCTATTTAAAGGACCTTATGGCCCTCATTTGCGGCCACCTTAAACCCTAAGAGCCTCCATACGTCTGTAAGCCCTTGTGAGTGTGTTTGAAGGCCATTTGTTCATCATTTTGTGGGATTTTGCAAGGAAAGGAGGGAGAGGAGCAAGCTTGAAGTGTTGGGGAGCTTAGATCTGTTGCTATTTCATCAAGGGAGTCTTCTTGAGGTAATTTTCAGAGCCAAACTTCGTGTTTTGTGTTGGTGTGCCAAATCTAGGGTTTCTTCTTGCATTTCTTGGCTTGAATAAGAAGTGTGAGAGGTCCCATGGGGATATGGGACCTAGATCTGGACTTTAGCAGGTCCAGGAGACCCCTTATGACAAGCTTTATGTCCATCCTTTTGAGTTAGAAGTTAAACTTGCCATATTAAAGGTTGTTTCTTCAAAATAAGCCTTGTATGCATTGCATGGCAACCAAGACTGAGACTTTACGTGACAAATAAGCTTGGGAAGGCCAGATCTATGTATTTATGGAACGAATCTGACCGCAAAAGCCAGTTTTAGCTGGTGCATGGCATGGACTCGCCGAGTCTAAAGAACAGACTCGACGAGTCGCTTGAAGATTGTCCTTGAGACCATCCTGTGTGTAGACCGGACCGAGTTGTGGGCGACTCAGTGAGTCGCAAAGAGTTGGAAAGGTTTTGACAGGTGGACCGAGTCAGGTTGGGACTCGCCGAGTTGACCTTCGACTCGGCGGGTTGAGTCGCGGTGGCCCTGTGATTCAGGCCCAGGTGGAACTCGTCGAGTCGGGGGAGTACTCGACGATTCAAAGGGAAAATTCTTGAGAGTTGGTAAAAACGCGTAGACTTGCCGAGTCACTATTGTGCACTCGCCGAGTCTGGTCCAAATTGACTAAAGACTGTTGACCAGGTCAACCTGTGTTGACTTGATTTGGATGGTCCACCTTAGTGGTACAAGTAATAATTATAGATTTATAATATCATAGGAGGATTGCAACTCGAGGGTTCGAGCCCGAGTGATTCCAGGATTCACGATTAGCGACTTAGCGAGGCATACGAGGTGAGTCTTCTCACTATACTGTGCCCGGAAGGGTTTTGACTGTGTGACCGGAAGGTCGAATATGATATGAAATATATGCCTTATGCGTGTTAAGTTATTTGCTTATGTGTCATGTATGATATGTTTGATATGGGCCGGAAGGCGTGGTCATATGGATTGTAAGGGTTGACGTGGGTAGGACCGGAAGGTTTACCCAGTCGGGACGGAAGTCCCCTGAGACACATGGACCGGAAGGTCAAGGCC